ATTGATACATGAAATTTTCACCGAATGTTAATAAAATTGCTATTAACATATTATTACAATAGCAGTTGAAAAATAAATGAAATTCATAGTTACAATTTTTTTTTATAAGCATTCAAAGTTTGAATTTTGACAAAATACGTAAAAATCATAAAAATTCACAAATTATTTTAAGCTAGAAATTAATAAAAAAAATTTCTTTTTTAAACTAAGATTTAAAAATTTAATAAAAGATTCCTTACAAGTTTTTCAATCTTTATCACAAAAAAAATGTCCACCGGAAATGCAAATTAAATTTTTATTAGCATTTAAATTTCAAATATTGACAAAAATTCGTTAGGTCGTTTAGTCCACTAAAATCCAATTATTAGACGAATAAGTGGTTTTTCCTATTCAATGACGTTGTTATAACATTATTCTAAGGATAATGGTTACCAGTTTAGTACCAACATAATATTATATAAAGATATAAGTATTGTTTTCGYCCRGTTTTCGGTTTAACACAAATACACAATACWACATAATATGCCGAAGAATTTCTTCGCTCGCGCATACGCACACATACAAACACCCACCCATAATATGCTATTGTACTGTTGAAAGAAATTCAAGGACACTGGTGTTACCTTGTACGTCGTACAAGACTTATTGGATAGAAGTGCACACAAACTGAATACCAAGTCAGGTAAACGTAAATAACTTGCATTTAGTACAGATTTCGTTGTTCCTTTTCTCCTACTGCAGTTAAGTGGTTCCCAAAGTAATAACTCACTCTTTTAAAATTAATGTTATATTTATCACTCCGCTCAGAATCAAAAATGCTATGAATTCGTATTATAAATAATTTATATAATAATAATATACGTACTACTAAAAAATCTTAAAATGTATGTATACACTAAATTATAAAATATAACATTCAAGTAAATGTAAAAAAAAAAAAAACCAGTCATTTAAATTAATAAATCACAAAATTTATGGTTACAATATAGGTATAATTGAGTCAGGGCTGGCTCAAGGGGGGGGGGCGAGGTGTGCCTAGGCACCAGGCCCCGCGTTTTACTTTACCAAAATTACACAACCAAAAACAAAAAATAATTTTACTTTTGAGGAATAATATTTTAAAGTTTTTAAATGTATTAATAATCTGTTGTTGTATAACTTATAGTTAATAACGAATATTATTGTTATTATTTATTATTACTTTCTCCGACATATCAAATATTATTAGTCAGTGGCGTGCACAGCTTTTTTGAATGGGAGGGAATATTCATTTTGATTTGTCACWGACCCATGGGGCTTCGCCTTCCACACCCCCTTCCGCTGAATTTATATTTTAATTTACATTACCCCCCTGAAAAACATTCCGGGAAAAATTGAAATAACAGGT